TATTACACGAGTTGCTTCAGTTTTATACAATCATAATGCCTATGGTTTGAGATTAAACACAGAACATATTTTGGCCATATTATGAACAAGTTTTTAATTTAAAAAATATCTCAGTGTTCTCAGTAATGTTCTTTATCAATGATTAGTGTCATCACATAATCCAAGTGTCAGGGTCATAAAATATCATTGAAATTCATGGAGGAGTTGCTGAGACATCAGATCAACATAAATGAAAAGCACTGTGAAAATAGATTTAAAGTCAGGGCATCACCAGGTCTGGACTGGTAATGTGGCTTACTGGGCATTTTCTTGGTGGGCCAACACACTTTTGGGCCGATGTACTGGCCGTACAAGCACTGACAGCAATCCATTCCTTCTTTTTCATTACCCACACTGGACAATGCCTAATCAAACCTTTTACGCAGCTTCTAGAAGAAGTGGTGGAAAGGTGGAGGTCAAAAGCTGACAGAAAACAATAAAAAGAAACTAAACTAAAAATAGATTCAGCAAAATGTACAAAATTAACCTGCATGTTAGCTGTCAGTGCTGCCAGTAGTACCAGCTATAGCTAGTAACCTGGCCTCACAGTGACAGTATGCTGCTGAGAGAAATATGTCTCAAAAGGGTTGCAAATGTGCAACATATGATCCATAAGTGTAAACTAAGCTTTAAGAATGTGTACAATTATTTGTGTGCAACTTCTGAAGACTCCCAAGCACATACTTGAATCCACCCACAAATACACAGCAATTTGGTTACACGTAAAACTATTTCACAAATGCGTATATCCAAATGGGAAAATAAATACTGCTAATTTATGCACAATTTATTAAATTCAGCTTCATAAATCCAATAATTTTGACTTTCAGAAACCTTACTGTGTGTATAAATATCTAGGTTGAGGCGCTGTCACTTGGTGTTCACTCTTTCTGTGGTAGAGTATCACTTCCTGCCTTTTCCATCAAACGGTGATGTGCTGGGTAGCTTATCTGCGTAGCAGTGTAATCTTCACGTGCTTCACCAGTAGCACACTCGCTTCACTCGTAAATGTATAGTTACAGTATTCACTCACTGTGTCTTTAGGGTTTTGCTAGCTTAGCTTAGCTCATAGCCGACTAGCTAGCAGCATGGCCTCTTTACCTGTCCCTCCTGCACTTTCCTGTTCATGTGTCAGATGTTTAGTTACTCCTCAGCCTCTAAACGCTTTTCCCTACTTGGTGACACACTTGACTGAGATCAAACTTTGGTTTTTGACAATTCTGTTCTGAGACATGTGAAGCTAGAGACACCAGCAACCATAGTCAATTTTGTTCCAGGTGCCAGAGCAGGCGACATTGATTGAAATTTTGAAGGGAAAACCATTTCAGGTGACCACATCATGAAGCTCACTGAGGGCAGGCCGAGGGTTTGCAATGCTGTCAACAAAGCAAAGGGTAGCTACTTTCAGCAATCTAAAATGTAAGACATATTTAGAGTTATTTATCAATCTTTGCTACATATATTTTGAATCATATATTCGATGTATGAAAGAAAAATCATGAAATGTCCAAACTATACACATAATACGTGTATGCATGATATATACATTCTTTTTTTCCTTTTTTCTTTTCTTTTTGAGTGACCATGGTGGGCTGCCAGGACCAAAAATGCCAGGGCCGATTTTTTGTCCCAGTCCATCAACTAGTAATCACTCAGGTGATCGGCAAATAAATAACCAACACTCTTAATCTGATGCTGTTTAAAAGCTATCCTTAAATATTTTATTCAACAAAAAAGAAAAAGAACTGTGGTGAGTAGCACTCCTCTAAGAGCATGTCTAAGAGACTATGACATCTAACCCAGTGTATCAGGTTTGTGGATGCTTTAACACCTCTATCTGTTGTATGGAAGATGCATTCACATTCCTGACAAAGGTGGAAAAACCACAGTATCATCATTCCACAAATCAGAAGTTACAGTAAGTACAGAGTACAATGAAAGCCGTCAAAGCTGAGAGGTTTCAAAAGCATCTGATGAGTTCTCACTTTTTTAGGATTCAGTTGTATTAAATTGGATTAAACCCATACCTTTTGGCTTCTCCAAGCTTGGGCTTGAGTTAAATAATATATAAAAAGGGAAGTGCTGCATTGCTCTAAAAATAACTTTAACCCTTGTGTGGTGTTCATATTTTTGTTACTCAGCCAGTGTTCATGGGTCTGGTGGACCCGCTAGAGTTTTGGCTTTCCAAATTAACACTATCAAACAATTTTATGTTAAATTACTCAACAGATATTTACTTTATCCCAATTACAAACCATATGAACAGCAAACATGGTTATTTTTTTCCCTTTACCTTTGTTAGATCACATTTATGAATTAATGTGCTTCTCGTTTTTTGTTTTTTTGTTTTTATAAAATGTTATAAAAAAAATAAATCAGTTATAATCAAGTGGAGTGAGTGGAAAGACACAACACATTTACACGTGAAGCAATATGTTTCACAACTAAATGGGGTCAGCTGCTCATCAATGGTGACATTAGGCCCAGGGTTGTAAAACAGGGGGAGGTGGTGCACACACTTATCCCACACTGTCCTGATGGCAGCTAGCTTGTCTCTCTGCCGTCGAGCTGGTCTGTCATCTCGGTTATCAAAATGGATAATCCTGGAAATTTTGTGGAAGTTTTCCAGAGACATTGATGCACGGAAAGGTTCGTGCCGGTTTCTGCATCCCACAGGGATTCTGTGGATTCCCCTTTGGACCTGAAAACTCCTGCAAGGATAAAAACCCCAAAGTAGGCCTTTGGAGTTCTTAGATGAATTTGGTCCATCTCCTTCCACCTCTCTCCAAAAACACACCTTCCTTCTAGATTACTGCAATCCAGAATAATTTTCTGGATGGAATCTGGGATGAAAAGCTCAAATGAAGACTTGATGTCCTGCACATGAGTAACTGTCAGCCGTGTTGGCCCTGGCTTATCACAGTAACAGCTCTGCAGGGTGGCTCATTTCTTGGGCAAGAAGACCATTCAATTTCACCAGTTATTGGCATCCATATTTCTTCACTCGCTGTCTGGTGGGCTTGTTCTGGTCCTGGCTGGCTGCAGATGGGGTACTCGTCTTCGTTTTGTTACTAAATGGTGCTCAACCTCATCCTCTTCTTCAAAGTCACTGTCAGACTCTGAATTTTCAGAAATGTGAAATATTCTGAAACCTCTTTGTCAACATAATCATCCGAAGCCCCTCTCTCTTCCAAAATCAATTGGATGGCCCTCGCAGCAGATAATCTTTTGCCATCTTGATCAGTTGTGATAAAGAACCACACTGGCAAAGTCTTATTTATAGTATTATGCCCCTAATTTGCAGGTGGGACAGGGTATAAGAAAATAAAATTTGGATCC